ATGTCGATCTTCGTTGATGAAAAAGTAGCACCGCTCTCTTTGTGGTAAATTTATTAGTATATAGTATATCAGTATATATATATATATATATATATAAAATAACAAGTCATTGATGTTTATAAAAATCCAAAATATTTGTATTTTCTATAGTCGCGTTGTATTACAATTTAAATAATCTGTGTCACAAAATACAACACCGAAAATTAAGCAATGCTTATTTCTTGCATGCAATTTAATAAATTTTTACATAATTTCGAAAAATTAGATGTAAAATTAAATATACAGTATATCAATAATGTTTTAAATGACATTCGATGAAGTACCGAAACATATAAATATTATTTATATTATTTTGTAGAAATATTAGATAATTTTTGATTGAAGACCCTCATTGTGCAGCTACTAGTTATACTCGTATACAATTAGATGTGTACGATTAGAATATTTTATTATTAATGACAATTTATTAATTTTAACGACAAAAGTCATTAAACTTGAAAATTTAATAAAAATGTGAAACATTCTATTTTTCAATGTCGAAATGGGCCAATTAAAAGTAAATTGAATTAAAAAACAGGGTTGGGTAAGTTAATTTTTTTTTTTAATTAAATTAAAGTTAACAGCTTTAAAAATTTAACTTAATTAAAATACAAGTTAATCCATAATGAAATTAATTGAATTAAAAGTTAAGTTAATAAAAAAAGTAATTGAAAAGTTAAAAGTTAAATATGGTCCGAACAAACAATAAAAAAAAAGAAAAAGAAAATGTTTGATCGTCTTACATAATTTTTCGTATTTTTCCTTTCTCACAGCATATTTATTAAAGAATCTGATTATTTTTGTTCACAAGTAACGATTATACAACATAAAATTACTAAATTATATACTCATTATCCTCTCGCATTGTTTGAGGATTGACTTAAAAAAAAATCAAATTAAAAGTTAATAGTTACCGATGAAATGTAACTAAATTAAATTAAAAAATTAAGAGTCTAAAATGTAACTAAGTTAATTTACAATATTAATTAACTTTTTAACTTTTTAACTTAACTTTTATTTTTTTAACTTAGCACTGCCCAACCCTGCTAAAAAAGACTAAAGTTTTTTAGTATTTTATTGTGTTTTTTTACTAATTTATTCCCTTTTTTCACTTTCTCTTTCTCTCTCACACACATACACACGTACTCTTTCTATCTTTTTTATTGAGTTTTTGGTTATTCGACAACGATATGATAGAACAAGGGACGGAAGAGTGAAAAAGAAATCCAGAGCTAACATCTGATTTAGTAAAAATTATAATACCTGATTAATCAAGGAATGAAAGAGCGAAGAGAAAATCGAGTATGTGTCATTATATATTATCATTATACATATAGTATCATTACAAGGAATGTGGATCAACAATTTGTCATTGATCTATCCTTAAAATCGAGACAAGTTATGAAAAGATTGTCGAAAAGATCGTCCACAAACACAAAAGTATTGTTACAAATTTGATTAATACAGACTTATTTTGTATAATTTATATTATTTGTAGAAAAATTGTACTTAATCCTATCATTTTTGACATTTTTCAATGTACTTACAGTTTATTAAATTAGATATTATTGTAACAGGCGTAGACTCTAACATAACATTAGATCATTTGTTAGACATTTGTATTTTACAAAATAGTTCACCAATGTATTTAAATTACGTTATTCATATCTAAAGTATATATTTTTATTTGTATATACGTAAATATAATCACGCTTTTTTTTAAATCAGCACAATTCATTTTGTATGTCATAATTGAGCGAACTACATTTTTTATTTCTATACAATTGCATATTTTATTTTATTGCGCAGATGAGAAGTTGGAGTTGTGATACTAGCCATGCTACATAGAACTTATCTTGTTAAGATAGAAACTGTATTGCAAATTATGAGAGAAGAATAATGTAGGGAACAGGTGAAACTTGATCTCTGAGAATGCGTGGAGTTTATTTTATGTTAACAATCTTGAAAGTTACATTTTGTGTATTAACATACATTGCGTTACATTGTATTACTTTACTTACTTTTAATAGCTATAAGATCAATGTACAAATGTTCGATTTTATACTTTTTGTATGAGTATTTTGTTTTAAAAATACTTTACTTTTATTGTGACATTAATAAAATCCCTTTTTAATATTATTCAGTTGAATTTTTTGAACCACTATAATAAATCATGTCTATGATGAAAGAATATGTTTAATTTTGTTATGTTTAAAAATAACTATTGTTATTTTTAATTACAATGAAATTTAAAATTAATAATATATATTATGTTAATTATAACTAACAATCAATAAATTAAGGCTAATAGTTAATAACTAATTATTAATTACTATATGTTAATTATACTAAATATTAAATATACTAATTATTAATTTATACTAAACTGAACATTTCAATTAGACTACAATAATTTATTGTTCAATTTAATTTAATTATTTTTACATTATTTCCATAGTTGCAAACCCATGTAAAACGATAATTATAACCAATATAGGTTTGTAACTTCTTATGGCCGCAGCACAGACTCTTGCATAACGCATAATGCATAGTGCATAAGGGAATCGACCAATCGAAATTCTTCTTTTCCATGGAATGGGAGGAAAGGAAAGATTCTGATTAGTTGATTCGCTTATGCACTATACGTTATGCATTATGCAAGAGTCTGTGCTGCGGCCTTTATTGTTACCAGCTAATGCACTTTTTCATCTAGAGTTCTAGTACTAATTATTATGATTAAAGTTTCTATCAGCAGAAAGAAATCTGAGAAAAGACATGTCATATGATGTCCTCTACTGCCCTCTGAAGAAGTGGATGCAAACTACACAACATCTTTTTTTCGGAGCTTCAGATGAAAATAAATCGCTGAAATCGTTGAAATCTTTATTAATTTAATAAATTTATTTCAGCGATTTCAGTGATTTATTTCCATTAGAAGCACCGTAAAAAAGTGATATATATTGTAAATTATATATTTAAATTCATAAATTATATATATTGTAAATTATATATTTAAATTCACAATGCAATATGCGAAATTTGTTGAATTCTAAATACTAAGTTAAAATATGACACTAATTGAAATAAAGCAGTGATTTGTAATTCCTGTATTCTGTATGTCTATGATTCTGGCGTAAGTATTTTGTTTCTGATTAGATAATGAAGTAATAGTGCGGATTAAGAATGCGGAATAAGACGTAAATGATTGCAGAATTAAACAATTCAAAAGTAACAAAAAGTCACAATACCTCTATCTTTTGTTAAAAATATTGCGTACATTGCGCGTATTGTAACTTGTAACATAATTTGAAATATCTAAGATATAAATGAGTTGTGTGAGCGCGTAACGAATCTAAAAAATTAAGTCTATTCATCGGAGAATATAAAAAATATAGCGAATAGATTATTTTACTTCTTTCGTAATAATCGTAATATGTGCGTTAATATTTCGACAGTTAGACGGTTGGCGCACGGCCTTGGGATTTGTTTTGACGCGGTAGGACTAAGTGGGTATAAAGAGAGTGAAGCCAATCTTGGTTTTCCTTCCTGATTGGTTCCGCCATTTTACGATTAACTGTTAGTTAGAGGAAGACGACGTTAGAAAAAGAAAAGGTTAGGATGAGGAATTACGTCATAAATATTTGTCGTAAAATGGCGACTTCCGGTTAATTGGCTTCATCTCTCTTTATACCAACTCTAGGTAGGACAAGCGGGTAGCGCGTCATGTTTTCGCAGTTCATATGCAGTTACCGCTCACCGCGTAGTCATTCATTTACCGATGCTCGTGTAGGCAGGTAGTCGTGTCGCTCGTTTTCACATAATGATCCTTTTTGAAACATATTTGCGACAAATACTATATATCTATAATTGTAACAGATAATACATCGTTATTGAAAATGTGTATTAAGGGGATGCTAAAGTTGTTCTACTTTACCATCATTTCCATTCGGTGAAATATCTCCGAATTGAATTGACGGATTGCAAAAAATTATTTTTACAGAATTAAAGTACGCACAAACAGGACCTCAGCTGTATCGGATTTTAGGAGAAAATCGAAGAAAAGTTTAAAAATTCGCTTACTTTTAGCTCGTACAGCTGACACCTCAGGTCTATATTTGCTTCATACAAGAGTTTTATAGTTTATATCTTGAAAATAAGCATAGGTCTGAGGTCACATTATTGTAACGAACGATACCAAGTTTATAGAACTAAGATTGAAAGTCTAGAAGGAAAGTAATCCTACCGAATAGAAAATACGTATATACGGGTACTTTGCGAAGACTGGGACTGTCAACAGAGTCGAAATTCCGTGTAGTAATAGTTGCGCGGTCTTGCGATAGATGGTGCTGGCATATGTTAGATAAGGACAGATGTATGCGTTTAAGTGAGATAGAACGATATATAATATAATGTAAGAAATGAAACAAAGATGTCACTATTATCGAATTTGAAATTAAAAAAGTCTGCACTATCGACCTCGATCAAGTTCGGTAATCGGTTTAGGATCCCCTTAAGTATGATATCATTCACATACCGATTCATCAGGTAATTCTAACTTCTGCTTCGTATACTTCCTCTTGTCAACGCGTTTCCGTATCGGTAATTTTTATTTTTATTTTTTAGACAAATATCTGAAGCAAGTCTTAAGGATAACAACTTTCGAAAATGTTTGAAAGACATCTAAAAACGTCTTTTGAAAAGGTCTTAAAGACGTTTAGTTCAAGATGTCTTTCAGACACGCACGTTCTCTGGGTCTCGCATGTTGACCGATGGTAAGTCGGATCCCTCACGTTGTTGACAGATGTCGCCCGCATTGCTATCGGGTGAAAAGTGACAGGCAGCCACTTGTCGCTGCGCAGTTCCGAGCACGCGCCACGTCAGCTGATCGGCGCTTGCGAGCAATCACGAGATGTCAACTGTTACACGCAGGTGGTGCTCGATTCGTAATGGCGTACGACGGCTGAGGAGCCACGGGTGCGAAACGCGCACGGGTGCTCGAGTTTTCGCGTATCCGTCAAGACCGGAGTGGTGATTAAGTGCCGCGGTGTGTTGCACGTGTGTCGGTGTGTCGCGGTAAGATGAGCGCGTCGACTGGCGTGCTGCCGTCGTACCAGCGCCTCGCGAACGGCGTACCGGTGCCGTTGTTCTCGAGACGGTCCTTCCGTCCTCGCGAGAAGTACCTGATCCTTCTGGTATTCATGACGTTCGGTGTCGTGTGCTTCGGTGCGTTCTTCTACCTGCCGGATTTTCGTACCGGCGGTGCCGCCGTGAACAGTGTCTACCGCGTGTACCAGAGCATGCAGAAGGCAGGACCGGAGCTGCTGCTGCCGGTGCCACCGCGCGCCTCCGGCGACCTCAAGGACTCGCGTTCGTCCGCGATCGGACATCCGAACGCGGTGCCGCCGGGCCACGAGGGTAGCGATCACCAAGACGTACACCTCGTCGAGGACAAGCAAAAGCTGCAGGTGCAAATTCGCGCTCCCCTTAAATCGATTTAATCTCCTCTCGTTCGATTGTGTGAATGTCTTCTCTCGAACGCCTTGCCTCTTGAACGAGTTTCCTTGTCGTCAACAGGAAACACTTTTCTCGCGCAATGTTGAATTCCCTTCAGTAAACAGTACCGTCGCGGTAGAAAACACAAGGTGGACATGCTCCGTTTGCGTTAGGTTGTGCTCCGTTTGTTTACATACGGCCATTGTAATGTACATGGCTGACGCACGTGCGCGGACTCCACGCGCTGTCACTTCGTTCACGATTCCGTCTCAATGAGCGATAACGATCATCTCCGTTTATTTAAAACAACCGAACCAGTCGTCTCATTAATAGATATTAATTAAAGATATTAACATCTAATAATAATAATTGAGATAACCGATCTCGATGCAACGTTAATATGATCGACAGTTGACGTAGTATTTTGAGATTAGGACGTCGTCGTGGGAGCGTCTCTTGAAATATGGATCCAGATAGCACAGAGAGTTTAAAAGGAATTCTTTTTCTCAACTTACAAAATAAATTCTTGTTTGTATTTTGCCTGATTTCTGTTCTAAAAGTGTTCCTGAGAATCTCAAAAGATTTCATTTTTATGTTACTATATGTATATAATTGTAAGCTTTTTTCAGATTCAAAAGGTATTCTTTTTCTGCCCTTTTTTATTTCTTGATTTTGTGTAAGGATAAATCATACCTACTTCGATATTTATGAAAATTAAATGTTACTTTTATTAAATGTAACGTATAGACAAATATGTATATCAATAAATTTGTATATATTTTTAAACTTTTTTTTCATAGAATTTTGAATAGATTAGACTAATTCATATAAAGAATTCAAGAGGGTAAATTATTTTAAAGCTCAAATAGATCAGATGTGTCATCTGGAGAAATGTTCTTAAATCTTATTTTGTTGAGAATTGTTCGAGTATAGTCCCCCCTTTGCTCATTTTCTTATGTCTTTCCATTAAATGCAGACGCATCTTAAAACGTATCTTGCGTAACTGATTTAATTGTTTGAATTCGTCCAGATTAAAGTCGATCTAATTTCACTCGGTAAACGGGAGCAACACAATATCGGATATCTTTAGCGACTTGCTGTGCACGCCGACGTTGAAAAACTCTCGCGTTTTGTTTGCGCTCTTTTCCTTCCATTCAACGTGAGTAGGTCGCGCAAGGTCGTCCCGTGAACTTGCCCTTGTATGGCAATGCATCTCCGTGATTCAATATCTGGACGAAGATGGTCGATTATGTATCGTATCTTGAAACTAGATAAAAATTACAAAAAGTAAGCAAATTCACTAGAATATATACAGGGTGTAATTGAAATAACGCTCACTAATCGTACATTCCTAATAAAAAAGTCGAAAAGTCCTCTACCATTTTGCAATTTTCGCAATAGTTAACGAGATATTAATTTCTAAATATTGCCGAATAAATGGATAAAATCGATGTATAAGACAATTTTGAGATATCTTTCCGTGTTTCTTGAAATATTTTGAAGATTTTTCTTAAAGAACTCTTAAAGATATCTTAAAGCTGTTTTATACGTCGATTTTAGATATTTTACTCATTGGGTAACTAAAAAAAAAAATTGCAAAATGATAGAGAACTTTTCGTCTCAGTTTTTTTTATTAGGAATAGCACTATATGATTAGTGGATGTTGCGATTAGTGGTTTGTTTCAGTTATACCCTATATAATTTTATTGGTCAACATCTAATGAATTTGCTAAAAACTATAGCTGATGATTTTTAACGGGTTAGCAATTGTTTTAAAGAAAAAAAGGGAGAAAAACAAATAATATTTAAAGAGAAATTTATTTTTGTTGAAAAGATACATATTAAATTTGATATAGATCACGGATAAACAAATAAATTGTTTACGTGTGATACGTTTTCTATGATAAATTTACGCTTTTATGATAAAATTTATATAAATCAAAGTTTTGGCTGAGACGTTAATTGATACAGATAAACGTACTATTAGAATTGTATGTAGCAAATATGATTTATCTTGTTCATACGCGCGCGTGACTCGTCCTGCTGTTATTTCTGTTTCGCTGTTCTCTTTCGTAGGAAATAATAGTCAAGATTCGTTTTAAACGCACGTTGCACTTTTTCGTCATAAATCAAACGCGCGTTGTTGCAATCGATTTTTCGAAAGGTCGCTGGTCAAAACCTGTAGTAAATTACATCATTATGGCTGGCAATATCTTAATTTGTTGTTTAAAAACTGAGATTTCACGCCTGGTAGCTAAACCTAGTAGAATGCAATGTTTTGTTTTTTTTGTATTTATTCCGGGTCTTGGAACGTGGGAAGTGACTCGAATAAAGACATATGTATACGAAGGAAAATGCGATCTATTGGAGCAGCGTTATGTGAACATGCGAAAGAAGATATTCTTATTCGCGATAATATAAATAACATTATCGTTGAGTAGCGTTCATGCACGCACGTTGCGGCATTTGTCACACATAAGTAGTAATCATACTAACAATAAGTAGTTATGAAATGGCAATTATTGAGATATACAAGATAGATATGCAGAAAGTATTTATTTAAAAACATTGGCGAGAGAAAGATGTTTGTTTTATGACGGTTAATAATGTTGCATTATTTTCGTCGTCACTATCTCAATAATTATTGTTTCTCAGCAAACTTTTTCTCGGGGAAATATCATTTTACAATCTTGTAGAAATGAAATTAATTAATGAGACTCAATAGAAACATATTATTCCGTATACGAAAGTAGTTCTCATAGTTTTCTTTTTTTTTGTTATGATACTTATAAAGATAAGGCGTTCGAGAGCATGCAATTGTTCGGAGGTGAACAAGGCGAAAATGAATATACTTCCGTGGAATCTAGATTACAGATGGCATGCGTGATTTTCGTAAAAATGCATTGGTTTCTTTTCGTAGCAATGACTAATCCGTACAGTCATTTCCGTACAGTCATTTAAATTTAACGAGTCTATGGACTCCTGAACTTAATAAACTGCGGACACTCACATACATTTATATTCATATATATACATTTTTGCAAGTGATAGTGCAGTTTAACGGTGGAAAAAAAGATTGCAATATTAGTTCAGGATACAATCTTTACTTTATAAATACTGGAATAAATAAAAATAAAAAATAAGTTTTTGTTTCATTTTTTGTTTAATAAAGCAGAATAGCGAAAGCTGAAGCTTATTTTACATTTATGTCTTCTAAGTAAAAAGAGTATTGATTTTTTAAGTTTTAAATTTTTAAATATAATCTCTTGAGAGAGAGAGTCAGATTTTCGACTAACCTAGTTTGATCGAAAATTAGCAATGTGCATTTGCATAATTATTGTCTATTACGCATTAGAGATAGCGAAGCCAGTCATGGAAATTCAAGAAGTTTGTTGTGCAACATTTAAACCAAATACTGATATAAACAATTTTTTAGATTGAAATTATTTCTACTAAAATGTCAGTAGTTTGTTTCTTATTTATTGCTATATACGTGTGGATGTGTATATACGAACAGATTCTTTGGCTATTATTTTTATTAAAAAAATAAGTATAAATGAGCTTAATGAATAGAAAGTAAATGTGCAAAGTAAAATGCCCAAAAATAATTTTAAATATATGTTATACATTTTTTCTATTTCAATTATATTTTTATATATATTTTTTTAAATAGCAATGCCTTACGATTAAATTGAACTCATGGATTTCTATTTTTTTTTCAAATCGAATATAGAAATACAAACGAAATATTTGTTCAAAAATTGAAAAAAGCGGTTATATATATTTGTATATTCAATCTAAATAAATCCAATATTCAAATGTAAAAATGTAGTAGTACAAATCAATGCATTTCGTGATTAAATGTCATATTCATTAATAATTATTAATGAAAAGTGTACTGTATGACCTTCGCATGCCATCTAAAATGATCGCGGAATACATGTCGATTGCGCGCTGAATTTTTAGGCAAAAATCAACGAGGAGTATCAACAACAAAAGACATTAGAGAAACCGGACATGGGTGAATCGCGAGTGCGTACAAGTAGTTCCTCATCGTTGATAGTGCACAAGGAAGAAACGGTTTTGGTGACAGTGCCACCAGCGCCTGCGGATAAGCTGCCATTAATCGTCGGCGGAGAGGATAAGGACCACATCGCCAGACAACGAAGGGACAAAGTGAAAGAGGTGAGTCTTGGTTTAGAAAATATTTGCATGACAAACTATAAAATATTTGCGAATAAACAACGACAAATGTAGGGATGACTTATTGACCATATACCTACATATAATTTGAAGCTCTATATCGTACATTTTAATTAAATATTTTTAAATAATACACAGTAAAACAGTTTGTGTATTTGTATTGGAAACGGTCCACTCACGTTTGTGTTAACAATTTGTGTTGAATTTTCTAATATATTCGAATGTTAATTTAACATAATGTGATTATGTTATGTAAAGATTTTTTGTGAAATTGATATTCAATGTTTCTTAGTGTCAAAATGACATAATTTATGAGTAAGTGAACAAGTAACATAAAAATGTGTTTTAAAACGTAAATTCTAAGACAAATGAATGAAATATGTGTTAATTTAATATATCATAAATGTTAATTTTCTGAAAAAAATATGTTCCCACGGTTTGTTTACAAACTGTATTATCTTTCTTTGTTCGTTGTTATCTTCCTTTGTATTTATTCTCTCACATAATATTTATGTTATAATACTTTTCTAACATATTCATCTTGTGTAAAATTAACTCAAAAATTTGAGTGAATCGTTTGGGACATGCGATTTATGTTAAATTCAACATATTTTTTCCAATTGTGTATGCTTAAATGAAAAATGTACAATATATATAATACTTTTTATGTTTTAAAAGACCATTTCTACGAAGAAATAGAAAAGAGACTTCTACAACATAATTATTCTCATAATCGCTTGCCATTGGGCAATATATTAATTTTTTGAGCATCGCGTTGAGTATTTTTTGAATAGCAAACTTATTTATTTTAATATTAAATTAAAATTATATTTATTTTAATGTAATATTAAAATAAATAAGTTTGCTATTCAAAAAATACTCAACGCGATGCTCAAAAAATTAATATATTGCCCAATGGCAAGCGATTATGAGAATGAGATTATGTAAAATTATTATTTTATGAATAAAAAGTTTCTACTTAATATCTTTTACAATAATTATTACGATATAAATTAATATTGTACTTGTTATAATATAATACAATTTGATTTTATTATACGATGAAACAAGAAGTAGTTTAAATATTTTATAAAAAGAAAATTTGTATTAAAATTGATTAATTATATTCATGATATATTGGTCGAGGAAGGAAAAATTAATATTTGAATTAAATTGATATAAAATTCAAAATTATTTAAGAAATTATTATGAGCGATTTTTTGATAAATTTTATATTACAAATGTGAAAACGTATTAAGATCGTGTTTCTGTTATTTATTTTGAATGAGGAATTCCCATTTATTGCGATTTTATGGAAATCAACATTGTCAAAACTCGAGACTATTTAAATAGTATCTTTCCATGTGATTTGCGAAAAATTATGTAGCGTTTCACGCATCATCGAAGAAATGCCATCATTTTCACATGAAAGAGAAGTGAGAGAAGCTGTTTTTTCGTGATATAGTAATTTTGCTTGCGCCGATCTATGTCGTGTTTTGCAAAATAATGAACCGGGATTTTTAAATTGACCCCGAGAAGTTCAATCTTCTTCTACAATGCGCCACTCTACGCTCTGCATGCAAATTGCTTCTATAAAAACTGTAGGATTATAAAGGACTTCAGCCATAAAAAAACACCTCTCCGCTGACTTGCACATTCTATATATGTATAAGTATATACTTATTTCAAAATTGAGTTTTTATATACAATATAATATATATATACATATATATAAAAACTCAATTTTAGAATAAGTTCAGAAATTGCATAATGCACACTTAAAGAAACAGATGAGTCTGTACCCGCAAGACCCTCGCGGCCCGAGGGACCAGCAAGACCCTTCGCCTGAGCAAATAAAAGTGACTGAAATATGAAAAAACTTACTTACATTTTTAAGTGCTACATACAAGGTGTTCTGGAAATCGTGATACAACTGGAAAAAGGGCTACTGACTCTACATGAAAAAAATAAGTAAATAAAATTTTGTCATATGATGCTTTATTTTTTTTTTTTCAGAAAATCGACTTTATATTTGCCAGGTACGAATTCAATTGTTCAATTAATTATTAAAGCATCAAAACACATGTTAGGAAGCGTTTATAGAAACCGAGATAGAAATTTATTTCGTTGGACAAGATTGTGTATTCGACAGAATGGATCATATTCCTAACAATTTGTAAAGTAATAAAATTTATCATGCTTGAATATCTTGTTTTTATTGTGCATTTTCGATTATCCAGTACAATATTAAATACAAACATGATCAAAGATAATAGTCTGCAGCGAGATAAAGTTAAATGCACACCGAAGCGCAATACGTCGAATATTCGAAATCGATTTTCTCGAAAACAAAGTCTCATATGAAAAAATTTTATTCTACATTTTCGACATACTTTTTCATGTAGAATCACCTCTTTATTTGGTTGTATAATTTCCAGAATATTTTGTATGCACGTGCATATTTCATATATGTATAAATATATTAACATATAATATATTAATTATATATAAAATCAAATTTATAAACGTTTTATATATACCTTTGTGTATATTTTTAGTATGTTGATGTGATATTTTTGAATATTTTACGGAAAAAATGAGGTATAACAGCCTTAACCGTCAACAGTTTAATTGAAAATAATCTTATTATTTCAATGACGATATTAATAGAACAAATACGCCATACTCTTGTTTTAATAAAATGTTATTTATTTCATTATATAATACTATTATTTTACAAATACGATTATTTTCAATTATAGGCTGCTGTTGGCTTAATACAACATAATTTTTTTACATTTTGTTTTTACATAATAATATTATATATATATCAATATTAATTATTCAAATTATAAATATATAATTTATTAATAAAATTTTATATATACAGGGTGTTTCCAAATTAAATGGCAAAACTTCGGGAGCGTGTAGAGGAGTAAAAAACTAAGAAAAAAAGTCCTATAGACATATGCTCCTTTTTGCTTTGTTTCGCAGGAAATCACGAAAAAAGAAAAAAATATATTTAATTTATTATTTTAATTATTTTATTTATAAACTTTTTAATGAAGATTTTGTTCGAAATGTGCACCTCTTGCAGCAATACAAGCATTGCATCTGTCAAACACGGCTCTTGTAGCAGCCAGGCACTGTTCTTGCGATATTCTGTTCGCTGCAGCTACGATACGATTTCTCAAATGTTGCTCTGATTGAATAGGCGAAGAATAAACTTCTTGCTTCAGAGTACCCCATGCATAGAAATCTAATGGCGTTAAGTCGGGCGAACGAGTTGCCCAATGTACTGCTCCTCCACGTCCAATCCATCGTTGTGGGAATTTTCTATCTAACCAGGTTCTAGCGACTCTGCTGTAATGAGCAGGGCATCCATCTAATTGAAACCACATTTCAGTACGTTGTTGTAATGGGATGTTTTCTAAATAGTCAGAAAATTCATTCTCCAAGAAATTTAGAAAACGGTCCCCATTTAATCTTGCAGGTAAAAAAAACATTTTTTTTCGATTTCTCTGAAACGGAGCAAAAACGAGCATATGTCTATAGGACTTTTTTTCTTAGTTTTTTACTCCTCTACACGCTCCCGAAGTTTTGCGATTTAATTTGGAAACACCCTGTATATAGAGAGAGAGAGAGAGAGTAAGTATACTTTTAAGATACATATGTACACATTTAATTCATCTTCATTAAATTTTATTAGAGAAGGAGATAGAAGGCTAGAAAAAAGGAGTTGAGAGAGAGAGAGAGAGAGAGAGAGAGGGGGGGGGGGCAGAAAGAGAACGGGCATGTGTTGATAAGATTTTTTTATGTGCTTTACAAATTACTGTAAAATTTCACACAATATAAGTATACAATTTTTAAATTGCTAAACGGTTTAACTAAAATTCATTGCATGGCAGTGTAAGCTGATAATTTGTTACTCAACTAGATTTTCCATGATATCGGCATTCGAGGTCGATTTTATTTAATTTGGTTCATCCACCTTCCGTTTTGTTCTTTTTTCTGGACTAAATAAAAATGTATGGAATTTGCAGTCTCGTTTGATTTGCAATTTTGCGGCGATATCGATTCCAAGCGCAATTTTATAAGCGCATGTTATATTTTAATTGGGAAATCGCGTGCATTTACGGGAAAGTTTTAATTACCTCGTTCTCGATATAAAGAGATAATACAACTACTTCCTTTTTCCTTTTTTTGGAAACCGGAAATTGCGATTATTATCGGCGCGTTAAATACGGTTATATTTGAATACGGTCGACAATAATGATCATCAATCGACGCGTACATACGGTCTAGCAATTAGGTTTGTGCTACATTCGTGTACGAATCGTTTGCCATTCGTCATTTGATGCGAGATAGGATTTGAAGTCACGCGATATCCTGTGCAACGTGGTAGTAGCAATAGTGTGGAAATATCAAATCACACAATTTGCGTTGCTCTGTTATAACTTTTGTCAGAAAAACCTGTCTTGTTACGAATGGAACGATTTACAATTAAGGATAGTTTTTTTAATGTAAATTTTATCGGAGAATTTATAACGTACTATTCTTTAAACAAACATATTTCAAAATAATGTTATGTTCAATTTGATTTTATTAATTATATGTTGGTTTTATCTTGTAATGACATTCGAAACAATGTGTTGTATTGAGATTCATCGTTAGATTTATTTGTACTATTTGTTGACGTTTTTTTTTCCATGATAATAGCAATATGCATAAAAGATGTCACAAGATTTTTTTTGTTGATTATATATTGTTGCTTTGTATTCATTATCTTCATCATCTGATTACGTCTATTCATTTCGACGTCATAGAGAATTTTCTATTCTTTTTCATGCTAAAAGTATTCGCAGATATTGTTATCGTACGACTAGATACGTTGAACATAAAATAATATTACACATAATTAAAAAATACTATTATTTTAATAAATAAAAACGTTATTAGTGGGAAAATTCTTTATTTTTGTTTATTTTTTTTAAATAGGTAATGGACCGACAAAGAATTTAATTTTCGATTAAAGCAAACGCGAAAAAATTTTT